TATTCAAACCGAAAGTTGAGTTGCTTCCAATTTGATTTACAGATATTTTTATTACAATGTAGTCAAGTAATTATGTCCGAAACCTCAAAACTATATGTTACCAGCAGGGCTTGAGCTGGGTCAAAATTTGAGGGAGAAGTGACTTCTCCCTCCAGCTGATTTAGGGAGAAGTGAGGAGACTTTAGGGAGAAGTTAGGAGACACATAAGGCGTCACCTGGGACATGTTTCGGGCCATTACTTTTTAGCTCACATGAGCTAGCTCAGGGTGAGTTTTTAGGGTCGTTGAATGTCTGTTGTCTGTCGTCCGTCCACACATGTACGTTAACATTCTAGCGGTCACATTATTGCCTCAATTATCATCAAACTTTGTCAGAATGCTTATCTAGGAAATAGCTCGGATGAGTTCGAACATGGGTCATCTCGATGAAAAACTAGGTCACAGGAGCTAAAAATAGAAAAACCTTGTTAACACTAGCGGTCACATTTTGCCTCAATCATCATCAAACTTTGTCAGGATGCTTGTCTAGATAATATCCGGTTGAGTTTGAACATGGGTCATCTTGGATGAAAAACTAGGTCACAGGAGCTAAAAATAGAAAAACCTTGTTAACACTTTAGTCGTCACATTTTTGACTCAATCATCTAGTGGCCCATGTTTTTATCCAAATATTCTGGAAATTTGTATGATTTCTAGGTCAAGTTCTAATATGGGTCACCTGGGTTCAAAAACTAGGTCACACTGCCCAAATATGAAAAAAACCTTAATAACACTCTAGTGGTCACATTTTTGACTCAATTATCATCAAACTTGGTCAGTATGCTTGTCTAGGTAATTGCTCGGATGAGTTCGAACATAGGTCATCTGGGTTGAAAAACTAGGTTACAGGAGCTAAAAATAGAAAAATCTTGTTAATGCTCTAATGGCTACTGTTTTGATGATTTCTAGGTCAAGTTTGAATATGGGTCACCTGGGTTCAAAAACTAGGTCACACCGCCAAAATATGGAAAAACCTTATTAACACTCTAGTGGTCACATTTTTGACTCAATTATCATCAAACTTGGTCAGGAAGCTTGTCTAGGTAATTGCTTGGATGAGTTCAAACATAGGTCATCTCGGATGCAAAACTAGTTTACAAGAACTAAAAATAGAAAAACCTTGTTAACACTCTAGTGGCCACATTTTTCACTCAATTGACATCAAACTTGGTCAGGATGCTTGTCTAGGTAATTGCTTAGATGAGTTCGAACATGGGTAATCTCCGATGAAATCTAGGTCACAGGAGCTAAAAATAGAAAATTCACCTGTCGTGAAACTTGGTCAGAATGCTTGTCTAGGTAATTGTTCGAATGAGTTTGATGTATCAGTTGAACGATCTAGGGCCATCCGACTGTATACATGTAGTGAGTATTTTAGTTGGTAACATTATTCACTGCAGATAGAGCAGTGCCCTGAGTCAGACTTGTTGTTGTCTATAATTTTTCGTTGATGGTTTGGGCGATTTACATTTTACATAATGATAGAGATAAATATAGTGACATTGCGGCGTGTATTACTATCACATTTTGTTGGCACGCATTCTAAACAAGCAGATTAACGTTTATTGGATGTAATTGAGAAGTAAACAAATTGTTAACAGACCTAGCATCGTAAATCGGTATGACAGATCATTAAAAAAAATCAGGCGACTTCAAAATCGCTTTGAAGTTTGTTTTAGGCGAAGTCGCTCATACAAAAGCAAGATCATTAAAAAAAATCAGGCGACTTCAAAATCGCTTTGAAGTTTGTTTTAGGCGAAGTCGCTCATACAAAAGCAACTTCTTCACCCTAATCACCCTGAACCAGGGTCTTTCAATTTGCCAAAGCCCGAATTAATGGGAACTTTGCTGCAATATTTTTGATAATTAAAACTTTGTGGACAAAAAGTTTTTCAAGCTGAATGAATATAGATTAGACTTTCGTTCTTATGGTTACCGAATAATGAAAGACATTATTACAGTTTAATCGAGTAAATGTCAAAAATGTCAAAACTATATGTTAAATCAGGGTCTTTCATTTAGATAAAATCAAAATTAACGGGAATTTTGCGACAGTATTTTTGATTATTTAAACTTTGTGGACTAGGATTTTTCAAGCTGAATGAATTTAGAATACTTTCAGTCATATGGTTACTGAATAATAAAAGACATTTTTCAGAGAACTGGTCAAATTTTTAGAACATATTCTGCTCAAGTCGACATTGCAAACAAATCTGATATAAATACAAGGTAAATATCTGGTTAAAGTGTAACAAACGAAAAATGACCTCAAAGAGTGGTAAATTCTTTGTGAATATCTGAAAAAGGGTCATTTGGGTAAATTTTCATTTTTAAGAAAAAATTTCAAAATTTGGATATTTTTTTATTTTTTTCAATTGTTACGGTTAAGGAAAAAAATCGCTAAAAATACCCACACAACAACAGCTCCTTAATTTCTCAAGGGATTTTAATTTAACTTGCCGGTTTTATGATGTAATCATTCTTGACAGAAATTTCTTGGGCAATTTTCAAGGGATTAAACCAAATTTTCACAGAACTATTGTTACCAAGTTTTATTTGACCTTAAGACATTTACGCCAAATTGTTGGATTCTGCTAAAATTGACCATAACTTTGTAATTTATTTATAAATTTGATTTATATTTTGACAAGGAAACACTTGTGGCCAAACTAACATGCCGGATGACATGCAGGCGGGGTCCACTTTCGTTCAGAGCATATCTCCTACACACATGGAGGAAATTTAATGTTCACCACTGTGAGAAGCTGTGTTTCGCGAATGAATCAGGTCTCTAGGTCAAAGGTCAAGGCCTCCTTATTTCAAGAACCAACACACTGTGACTTAACTTCTTTTATAAACAGTTTTTTTCCTGTGTACTATTTGATTACTGCATATCTATTTAGATTTATATAAAACATTAAAATCTTTTACTAATTACACTGTCTATTCTTAATTTTTCAGAGTCGAGATGTAAATTGACAAATGAAGAATCTGACTGGGAAACTAAATAGTAATTAGAATTGGTGACAATAAAATCTGAATAATTTGAATAAAGAAATCATGAATTGACAAGAATTGTGAAACAGAAGCAGAATGGACGGGGGAGAGCAGATGACTATCAGCCCTGAATTTCTGGAGAATATTCAATCAGCTGTTAACTCACAGGGTGTTCTTGGGCAAGTTCAAGTGATTGAGACTGAGAATGGACCAGTCACGGTATTGTTTATGGAGGAAGGAGCTGATACTTCTAGTTTCGGTGGAGAAAATATTACTCTGTCAGTTAGTGAAGCAGGCCAGGGACTTGGTGAGACAGTTATTGAAGATGCCAATACTGAAGTTCAATATCAGTACCATGTACAAACAGACAATGACTATACACAATTGCTTCAAGGAGCTGTTGGAGATACAATTGTCAGTGATGCTAATCCAGTCAGTTCTGTGAAGGAAGACCTTGCCGTAGAACCTGTCATTGATCTTCCTCAAGTTCCTGCCGCAGTACAGTCAACAGTCACTGAAACTTTCCAACAGCCAGAGAGTGAAACATCTACAGACACATACTATATCACTGAAACAGGTGAAATACTTAAGATCGATAGCTCCTTGTTGGGGGAGAATGCTGGTGATGCAACACTACAGCTTCAGACTCAAGATGGCACTCTGCAGATTCTTAACCAAGTTGGAAGTTTACAAACCAGTCAGGTAGACACTCAGCTGCCAACCTATACCCAGCCAGCAGTAGATACTGGTAACATCAACATAACATATGACCAAAGTACTCCTTCCTTTGAATACACTGCCACAAAAGTTGATACCCAGGGTGTTAACACTGAAGTAGCTAGAGCTGAGGAACCAAAAGTATTGAGTTATAAAACAACTAATAGGCAACGAACAAACATCATGAGGCAGCCAGTGTCTAGAGCAGCTCCAACTAGCATTCTTTCAAAGCCTACATCAGCATCCAGTCAGACAGGATTTCTTCCATCTAGTTATCACAGTGTTAAACAAGTGGATGCCAGTGGTCAAACTACAGAAATTGTATACCCAAAACCATACCAAAAACATACCATTGTATACCCTAAGATACAAAAACAAAGTGTTAATACTGGTATGCTTAAATCAGGACAACAGAGTTATCAGACAAAAACTTACCCACAAAAAATGATTACTACAGTTGTGAAACCTCAGTCTTTATTGAAATCCAATGCAAGTCATGGTCTGACCTCAGTTCCTGTTGTAAATAAACCTATTGTTCCTCAGATACCGGCTTCAACTAGAAGTATCACCACAAGCACTTACACACAGAGAACAGAGCCTGCATTTAGTAAGATGCAGTCCAAAATGGTAGGAACAACAAGAGTTCCTGCTGTTATCAAACAGCAAACAGATTTGCTATCAGTGGCAATGAAACAAGCAGAAGTTTCTAATCAAATTTTGACTTCTTCGGTACAACCATTGAAAAAAGTTGCAACTCCTGCAGTTGTGAAAGAGACTGTTGTTGCTTTTCCAAGTACAGTAAAACCAGCAGAGTGTGATGTTGCTGTTGAAAACATAGCAGCAGAATTGGTTTCTACAAATTCAGTTATAGAGAGTTCTAAACCAACAAGTAATGAAACATCACTTCCTGAGACAACACCATTCACAAAGGAGCAAGAGATTGTTCCTCCAGCACCAAGTGAGGAAAAAGTTGAAACACCGGGAAATATAATTGAATCCCTTGAAATACCAGTGAAAAACATTGAATCCTTTGATAATCCAGCAAGTAACACTGAATCCCTTGATACACCAGTGGATAACATTGAATCCCAATCTAATGAGTCTAGTGAAAGCAAGATGGAAATTGATCAGCAACCTTCTGAAGCTAAACAGTCAGATGTTGAAAAATTGGTGAAATTAAAAGAAGATGAAACAAGGGAGACTGAAAAATCGAAGTCTGATTCTTCTTCAAAACAGGTATCTATTAACAGCTTTTCAAAAATTTATAATTTACAAGATAAAAGTACTATTAAAAATGTTAAGAGCAACACTGTGTTGTTAGAAGCTGTTCAGACAGTTAAGAAGAATTTGAAGGTGAGTTCTTTAGCCCAAACAACAAATATGGGTAGTGAAAATGATGCAAACAATGATGGCACTGCAAGCAGCGTTAAAAAGAAGCAAGAAGACCTACATTGCAGCGGATTAAAAAGTATTAAAATTTCAGCATCTGAAATGGAAGAAAAAAATCAGAAAGTAAATGATGTTAAAAAAGTAAAAGAAAAGATAACTGCAAAGAAAGCATTTAACCTTCCCATTAAAAAGATTTTGAAATGCGAAAAATGTTCATTTATGACAAAGAAGAAATCTGATATGAAACAACATATATTAGACAATCATACAGAAGCTTCTATACCAGACAAGCCCAAATTGTGTCTGAAATTAGATAAACAAGAAGATCAGTTAAATAAAACACAAGAAGCATCAAAATCTGTTGAAAATTTGTCTGAAACTAAAATACAGAGTTCTAAAGTCAGTGAAAAAATTAAAACCAGAAAACGTAAAGTTTCTACAGCAGTAACTCGTAAAGGAAAGTTAAATAAACATTTATATGAAGTGAATGTAGCAAGAACATTTTCTTGTGGCAAGTGCAAGAAGTCATTTGTAAAGGAAGTTGATCGTTTGAAACATGTGATGGAAGGTACATGCACGCCTCGTGTTACCATTGAAAAGAATTTAAAAAGTGAAGATGATGAACAATTATCTGGGGACGACAATGATGTTGATTCAGACAGTAAGTTAATTGGCTCAGACAAAGACAGTGATCAATATAATTATAGCCTGTGTACATCAATCCTGAGACGTTTCTATCTGAAACATCAAGACCTCCAATTACCAGTTAGTACTGACAAGTGCTTTAGATGTGCCGTCTCTTTAAAAACATTGGAGCAGAAAGTCATCCATGTGTGTCGTGAAAATTCAAAAAATATTTATTTTTGTCAAGATTGTGGTAAAATCATTACTTCCAAAAGAGGGTATTTACTGCATAAAGACAAATATCCATTCAGGTGTCCATCGTGCAAGTTTGGGTTTTTAAGAGAACACATTTTAAAGAGACATTTGCAAAAATGTGGCAGTGCCAAAGAAATGAGATATTTAGCCTTGGTTGAATCCTACAGAGAGAAGAATAGATCTTTAAAAAAGGAAATAGGTCTAGCTCATCATAGGTGTCACATGTGTAACAAGCATTTCTTGTCAGTTAGAAGGCTTAGATTTCATCAACAAATGGTCCATGATATCATTCCAAATCCAAAGTCAACCATGATGACTGGTATTGCTGGTTCTACCAAAATTAACAAATATATTTTTGGAAAGACTTATACCATTCGTTCCAGCAGGAACAGCAAAGAAGCGAAGAAGATTGTTGATAAAAAGGCTACTGACATTGAACAGATTCTTGGAAGAAAACAAATATATTACCTGTTTACTGATGAAAAAAGCCCAGAAGCTTTGCATAATAGTGTGCCAATGGAACCTTCTAAAAGAAAATCAGAGTTAAAACCCGTGGATAAGTCAGACCCTGAAAACTTGGGCACTGAATATGGTATCATGATGGATCAACATGGCTCAGTGTAAGTTCTTCTCTTTTTCTTTTTATGTTGTATGAAGGATTTTTCAGTGCTTTACCTAGAAATGTACATGTATAATGGGACACTGTTTTCTAACATGAATTTTTGTTCATGCAATTTAAGGGAAGTTTAATGTCTTTGAGATTCTTTAAGGGGAATCTTATATTGTGCACATTTTGAATGTAAAGAACAGTTGGAAATTTGAGCATTCATTACTTGTTAAGTATCCTAGAAACTTCCTTGTATGTGTGAATTTTTACATTCTAGTCAGTAAAACTTCCTTGTTTAAGATAACTAAGAGCACCATTTAATGCAGGAAAAAGTTCCAAATATATATAAACTACATATACTTTTACCTAAAATCTGTCATATTAGTGCCAGGCCAGTAATTGAAAACACTTCTCATTCATTTTTCTTTTGCCATCAGATAAATGTTGCTGGCGGTAGCGAGTGCTTATTGATTTCTACCTTTTTTCTATGGAAAGTTATCCATGGCCATTTCATTATTCTGGAGCCTTCATATATTGCTTAAGTCCGGACATGAACTTCCATTTTGCAATGTATATTATTATGTTGGAAGTATTTCTTGTGTTGAAATTCACAAAATTAAACTGCAATTGTAATTACCGCAATGTCAATTACCTGTTGCAAAACGACTACAATAAAGTTTGTTTAAAAGTTGACACTTCTTCTAAAATCTGAAAAAAAATCTTACAAAATATAAATTCTACCTATGAATAGAATAATCCTTTTACAAAAATTTGTATTATGATGGATATTTCTTACTTTATTGAAATAAAAATTATATTATTTTCTTTTGCAGGATTACTAAAGAAGTTTTAAATACAGCCCATGCTGCAGAAGATACAAGTGACAGTTTGAGATCCAAGGAGCTGAAACCATTCTCTGAGTTTATTGAATACAGTGGTCATATCCCAGAAGGCCTTGAATCATATAAACCACTCATGAAGGCATATAAATGTGCAGCTTGCAGCATCTTATGTGCTGATGAATTAAGTTTCAAAAGACATATGCTTACTGTTCATTTAAAAGGAGCGCAATGCAAAGTTTGCAAGAAGAAGCCTATAACTGAGAAAGGACTCTTGGCTCATATGATAGATAAACATCTAGTTGGAGAACCTCTGACATGCCCAGAATGTAATAAAGCATTTAAAAAGACCAATGCTTACTGGAGGCACGCAGTATTGCATATTGAACGCTTCAGTTGTGAGGTGTGTTGTCGAGGTTTCCGACAAAAGAGGGATCTGACCGACCATTTGAAAGTACATGTAGAAGTGAAAGAGTTTTGTGTCAGGTGTGGCCAAGTGTTTGACAATCATGACCTTCTAAGAATACACAGCTGGAAGGAACATAAAGTAAGAATGAATAAGAGGTTAACGCCACTGCATATAAGAACACAAAGGAGATACTTGAGGCCAAAGAGAAAGAGAAAGAAGACAATTCAAATGACTATTGATACGACTAAAAAGGTGTGTAAATCTCAGAAATTTGAAGGATTTGAAATTGCCATCATCATGTTTGCATCATTTTCACTTTAAACAAAACAAGCATCTTCCTTGTAAATGGATAACCTGTGATAAAAGACCACATGGATGAAATACTGAGAGAAAAAAAAATGACTACAATCAAGGTGAAAAAAGCGCTTTGATACTACACATATATAGATCAATTATTTGGATGTTGTAATTTTGGGGAAAAGTTTCTTAAGAAAGAAGAGTTCTGTAATGTTTATTGTTTTTGTTAGTTTAAAGTTAAACAGAAAAGTGTATTAAGAGACAGGTCATGGTTTACAAGTGGTCTCTTAATGCAGGTTTCCAACCACATTCTTAAAATATTACCTTCTTTGAAGCAACTAAAATAGCAGGTAGGTGAAGATTTTAGCTTTAAGTCTGAAAAAAAATCTTTTGTTTAAAGGGTTTAAAGCTATTACAGGTAAAATATAGTAAGTAAATATTTATTGTAATATAAATTTTATTGTTTTAAGATTATTGTGGTTGCTTCTTAAAAGATAAAAACATTGATTGTCTGAATTTTTAAACAAACATTGAATATTTTAAGTTACTTGTATAAATCATTACCAAACTAGTTTACTTTGCCATATGACCTATACAAGTAATGGAGTTACAAAGCAGTATGTCTCTAGATTCTTGCTCATATGTGTGAAAATTTTGAAGATGTATTTGAAATGAAAATTTTGTCAGGTTACTAGACACATTGCAAACAGCACTTATAATCTACCTAAATTACCCCAAAAAGGGTCAAATATGCAAAAAATAGCTTTTACTGTGAATACTGCAAAATCTGTCATAAATTGTATATAACAAGAATATGAATACTTAAATTGTGAAAATGTTCTCTTTTGATAAAATCTTAGTATATTATTTTCCATTTAGCATCTGGCATGCAGCAAGACAAACAAATCAGCTATTGTTTGTATGGTTTACCAGATATAATTGATTTCTAACTGTAACTGCCATCAAATGTGTGATACATTGAAACACAACATCTTTTAACTGAATTTTCAGGATAGAATGTTTAAATTACTAAGACACTAGATACAAGTCTGTAAACATAAAGTTAACCTGCTTGTTGTGCCAATTTACTTAATAATTAGTAAGTTACTCTAATAACTTCATATGTTTTCTATTAAATTATAACTGATAAATTTTTAGGAATTTTTTTTTGTAGACGGTCGAGTCAGCAGTGGTGGATGCTGGAACAAAGACTAAAGACGAGGCGACACCTTCCAAGGGATCAGATAAACAATTGACCCAGAGTTCAACTGTTACTGACAGCAATCTGAAAAGTATTGAGTAAGTAATAAAGTAAATGATTACATTGATTGTTTAATGTATTATTAATATAAGGTACAGTAAAATTGATACTTACAGAATGGGAATTGGGCTTTAGAAGTTGTTACTGATACATATTCGAAGAAACATACAAGGATGTTTAGGTAATGTAGTGGGGCGGGAAATTGAGAAAATAGTGCAAATTGTGATACAAGCATGAAACTTTCAGGAAATCATCTTTAGACTATGTAGATTTCAAAAGTGAAGTGGGCCCCAAAATATCTCTGCTCATTCAAGATGGCCGCCATTTTCAAAATGGCCGCCATATAAATTTGATGTACATGCTAGCTCATTCACTCCAATTTTTTGTACAGACCTTTAACTAACACCTAAAGCATGCATATAGTTTCTCCTTTTCAAAAATTTAAATCTCACAAAATGTTTCTTTCATACTTCTTCCAAATCCAAGATGGCGTCCAATATGGCCGTCGATTTTGTGCAAAACTGTTATATCATTTTTATAATATAATTTGTTGAACAAATTATGTTTATTATGATAAAAAAGTGTTTAAACATATCAGAGATAATCAAATTATATGTTAATCTCAATAAAAGTAAACATTTTAAAAGTTTTTGTCTAAAAATATCTTTAAAAAAAGATCAAGAAAAAATTCCAATTTTTTCATATTTTTCAAATTTGATTTTCTTAAGTAATGTATTCCATTCCATTAATATCATGTGTTTATTGTACAGAATGTAAGAAAAACATTAAATCTGTAGGTTTTATATTTTGTGAAAGTGGGTGGGGTAATTCTATATGATAATTGTAAAAGAAAAAACAACAGAAAATCTACATAGCTAAGTTCATTCTATTTCTTTGCCTTTTTACTTTTCTATGAATTCTTATGCAAATGTTCCAACTTAAAAAGTACTTTTTAGCTCGACTATTCGATAAGAATAAGTAGAGCTATTGTAGTCACCCGAGCGTCGGCGTTGGTGTCCGCGTCCGCGTAACCACTTATGTTAAAGTTTTTGTAATAGTTCAAATATTTTCAAAGTCCATTGACATATGGCTTTGAAACTTTGCACACTTGTTCACCATCATGACCCCAACCTGTAAACAGGAGGAGGTAACTGTATCAAGCATTTTGACAGAATTATGCCCCTTTTTCGACTTAGAATTTACGTTAAAGTTTTTGTAATAGTTCAAATATTTTCAAAGTCCATTGACATATGGCTTTGAAACTTTGCACACTTGTTCACCATCATGACCCCAACCTGTAAACAGGAGGAGGTAACTGTATCAAGCATTTTGACAGAATTATGCCCCTTTTTCGACTTAGAATTTACGTTAAAGTTTTTGTAATAGTTCAAATATTTTCAAAGTCCATTGACATATGGCTTTGAAACTTTGCACACTTGTTCACCATCATGACCCCAACCTGTAAACTGGAGGAGGTAACTGTATCAAGCATTTTGACAGAATTATGCCCCTTTTTCGACTTAGAATTTACGTTAAAGTTTTTGTAATAGTTCAAATATTTTCTAAGTCCATTGACATATGGCTTTGAAACTTTGCACACTTGTTCACCATCATGGCCCCAATCTGTAAACAGGAGGAGGTAACTGTATCAAGCATTTTGACAGAATTATGCCCCTTTTTCGACTTAGAATTTACGTTAAAGTTTTTGTAATAGTTCAAATATTTTCAAAGTCCATTGACATATGGCTTTGAAACTTTGCACACTTGTTCACCATCATTACCCCAACCTGTAAACAGCAGGAGGTAATTGTATCAAGCATTTTTTTTTACTATCAAGCACTAAGAATAGTCGAGCGTTGCTGTCCTACCGACAGCTCTTGTTATTGGATGAAAGTAATTTTTTCTTCCTTCGGGCCATTTGGTGGGTGAGCAAGAAATGCACATATTACAAACATGTGTGTACATGTTATTAAATTTGGTTGCATGATAATTCTTGTTTCAATATAATTGATATCATATATTAATTGTTAATTGTAAAGACATATAAGAAGACAATAAATCAACTAAACATGCTTAAAATAGCAAACATGTACATGAATGTAAGGTATAAAGGTAGTCTATAAACGCATATTTTTGACTCCTCCACAATTTTATAATTATAATATAAACATGGCTTAAAAGCCAACAAAATGTATGTGATGTGAAACAGATATATCAATGATATGGCCTGGCCTGCATGCAACTTTTTGAAAAGTTAAGATACAAATTAAGTGTATTTCCTAAAGTAATCATATCTTATTTTTTATCTTTCAATAAGAGGGTAATGATGACCCTGGATCACTCACCTATGATCATTGTTGGAAAAAAAGGTAACAAGATCATTTTGGGAGTGTCAATTATGTCATAACACGCATGATTTGTGTCATAATTGAATCCGGTTGCTTTTAAAGAAACATGCTCAATATCTGCTTTCATTTTTATTCACACGAGAGGACTTCAATAACCATATTTATATACGAGTCCATATAAACTTAGTGACCTTTAGTGTTTGGTTAATTTGGACCATGTTGTCCAGAATATATCATTATTATAACATAATTATGATGATACATGATTAATGTATATGCATCGGATACTGTAGGTTAAGAGAAAACAGACTTATTACAGTAGTCTTTGTAATTAAGTGATACCATTGCAAAACTATTTTAGACTGCAGAACCATCATACAAATTTATGCATGTAATATCAGTCTACATCCCAAATATCTTAGTTCTAGTCATTATATTTTAAAACTAGATGTTTTAATGTGTTTTCCTATACAAGTCTGTGTACCCAGGTGGCTCTATGAGCATGATTCATTAAATGTGTTAATAGAGACCCAAGGTGGTGCTACATGCCAGCTTAGTACCTGTGCTCTTTGCATTTTGATTTTGAGAAGATTTTTTATATTGCATGTACACTTAATGATCCAAAAGTGTTTTATGTAACTTTTAAAGAGGTCTTCTTTACTTGGCAAGGTTATATTTTGACTATCTAAGCTCTAGGCATTTCAGTTTTTTTGTTTGTTGATTTTTTTAATAACAACAACAAGAAAACAACTTCAATGCGATTCCCTACAGAAGTCTTTAAAAACTGTGTTCCTCGTGAGGGCCTTTAAATCATGTTCCTGCAGCCCAAAATGGCTTTCCGTGTCACTTAGTTTACATTGACTTATATAGTAAAATTCTTCTCCGAAATTATGTGCACAGAGAAGAGAAAATATGTATATCATAACATTGTGATGTTATATAAAAAGATTATGAACTATTGGCATAGGATCAAAATCACTTAGTTTACATGGACTCTTATTGGAATAAAGTTCTATTAGTCTTCTTGTAGTTCTGAGTGCCTAGTTATTTGACATGATTCTTTTCAAATAGTATAAATCATGACTGGTGAAAAAAAGATACTCCTTATATGATTTTAGCATTCTTCAGTATAAAAGAATTATAGACCTTTTCCAGCATTGGGTCTAAGGCGCGTGATCTAGGGTCAACAATTCTCTCTTGTTTAATGGGAAAATAAAGTATGCCTACATTTAGTTTATATTCTAAAGTATAAGCTATGTTTGTTATGTGGGTCAAGCTGTTTTATTGATACCTATTTTAACACACCTAGTCATTAGATAATATGATGTATCAGTCGCCTAAATTTTTGTTTCTTTTGAAAATATCATGTCTACATAAGTTATTAGAAATGGACGGTACTAATTCAATTATACTTGGTTACAATGATGTGCAAGTAAATACAACTTTGAATCATTCTGTTACAAGCTTTTAGAAAGACTAAATTGTGCAGGAAATAATTGTATTCATAAATAGACAACATTTCACTCAGGTCCAGGCATGATTTTATCTAACATATGGTTCGTTGATGAATATTCAGTCTTCTTTCTGTACAATTATTAAATTATATTAGGAATATTGAAACAACTGATATCATGCAAAAATTTAATAACTGAATGTATACATATGATTGTATCTGCATTTATTGATATTTTAGTACACCCTCTAGACCTAAAGGAAAACAAAAATACCTTAATACAATAAAATACTTTACAGTGAATATTTGCATAAGAATTCTTAAAAAACGTTATTTTGTACTACAATTGTCTGATAAATTTACCCCACCCTCTTTTAATAAGTATAGAATCTTCACATTTTTGTTTGTTTTTGTCACAATTATACAATAAAACATAGTGTTGATTGAATATCAAATACACTTTAATTAACTATGTAACTTTTGGAATTTTGTACATATACCTAGAAAACCATGTTAGAGGAAAATGCAAAAATGGCACTTTTTTTTTATTTTTTAAAGAATTTTTTTGTACAAAAAACTAAAAACATGACTAACAATGTAGTTAACCTAAAATTTTGATTTTTTTTTCTAATATATTTCACAATTTTATATGGAAATACGCATACCTTGTGCAAAAAATTATACTACAAAAGAGATATATCAGTTTTCATTAGAATTGGCAGCCATATTGGACGCCATCTTGAATTCTGAAGAAATCTGCAAGAGAAATTGCCTGAAGATTTAAATTTTTGTAAAGGGGAAACTATATGCAAGCTTTGGTGTAAGTTTCAGGTCTGTTTAAAAAATTGGAATGAATAAGCTATTATGTACATCAAATTTATATGGCTGCCATCTTGAAAATGGCGGCCATCTTGAATGAGCAGAGATATTTTTGGGCCCACTTGACTTTCGAAATCTACATGGTGTAAAGATAATTTCCTGAAAGTTTCATGCTTGTATCACAATTTGCACTATTTTGACAGCAGATACCTTATTTCCCGCCCCACTAATGTAAAATAATAACTTGTTCTTTGCCCAAAGGATGGCATTGTGTGAAGGCAATTTTGTCTTTGTCCATCTGCAGTTTTAGGATTGTCTATGTTTCGAAAGACTTAGAAGAATATTGATAATTACTGTGGTAGAATATTTATCTTTTTAAGACAACTGAACATGTACAGACCAAGCTTCTTATGCTTAA